CCTCACCCGAGGATATTTTCCATTGATTTTTAGGGAGAGTGGAAGAGAGAGGGAAAGACAGAGAGAAACATCCATGTGAAAGAAACACATCGATTGGTTGCCTCCTGCTGGAGCCCCCACCAGGGCCCGGGCCAGGGAGGAGCCTGCAACCGAGGTACATGCCCTTGAGTGGAAAAAACCCAGGACCCTTCAGTCCTCAGGCCAGTGTTCTATCCACTGAGCCACACCGGCTAGGGCCAGCCTTCCTTTCTCTGAATTATTAAGGCATCTGTGGTGCAAGCATGTCAGAACCAGGGATGTTTTATGTGCCTCAGAGAAAGAATGATGTGCTGCTATTTGATGTGTATTTGTTCTCTCTTACCGGTTAGAATGTAACTTTCTTGAGCACAAGGCCTGGTTTCCGTGAAGCCCCGAGGCCATTGCAATGCCCAAAGTGAAAAGAGAGAAAATTCTTGTGGAACAGTTGACTTACCTGCATAGTAACATTCCTCTCTATGGCTGTGACTGAAAGTATGGGTACTGTCACTAAAAAAACAAATGCAACTGGTTATTTAAACACCTTTCTCCTGGGTGTTTATAAACTTAAACAGTTGAAAGGGTTAAAATTAAGCCAGAGACAGCGAATCGTGTCCTGAGTACCCATTTAATTACCAGATGTTTGAAAGTGTTTACCCAGATGTAGATATTTTAACTACAACCAGCCTTTAAAGGAGTATTTTATCACTGAAAGGGTCATTTGAAAATATCTTCATTGTAGCATTCTGAGTAAAATATAATGAATTTTCACTATTTATTAAAAAGGTAAAACAGATACTTTTCTAGTTATAAAATTAATATATGCTCACTATAAAAACCCCTCATAGAATATAGAAAAGGTGAAGACAAAACTAAAAACCACCCATCATCCTTTATTTTAGAGATATTTACTTAGAACATTTTGGCATATTTTCCTGCAGTTTTCTATATATTTATATACTATATTAATGTATCCATGTGTATATATGTGGTTGGCAATCTCTACAATTGCCCCCGAATGATCCCTGCCTGTGGAATCCACAGCCTTCTGTAACTCCCTCCCTGTGAGTACCGTGCTTATAATCAATAGAATACGGCAACTTTGAGGGCTGTCACTTCCATTATTAGGGCGCAAAAGGCTGTGAATGTTGACTTGCCAGGAGACCCTCTGTCGAAGCAAGTGGGCATGTTAGAGAGGCTTACACAGCAAGGCATGACGGCGGCCTCTAGCCAACAGCCAGCTGCCCTCAGTCTTTTTTTTTTTTTTTTTTTTAATATATTTTATTGATTTTTTACAGAGAGGAAGAGAGAGAGATAGAGAGTTAGAAACATCGATGAGAGAGAAACATCGATCAGCTGCCTCCTGCACATCACATCCCCCACTGGGGAAGTGCCCACAACCCAGGTACATGCCCTTGACCCGGAATCGAACCCGTGACTTTTCAGTCCGCAGGCCGACGCTCTATCCACTGAGCCAAACCGGTTTCGGCAAGCCCTCAGTCTTTACAGCCTCAATGAGCTGAGTCCTGCCGACAACCGCAGGACGGAGCTTGCAAGCATATCCTTCCCCAGTTGAGGGTCAAGATAAGGCTCCGGCGGCAGAGGACACCTTGACCTCAGCCTTGTGAGGCCCCGAGCCGGAGGACCCAGATAAGCTGTGCTGGATCCCCGACCCACGCAATCTGTGTGTGTGTTGTTTAAGCTGCTTCGTTCTGAGGTAATTTGTTATACAGCAACAGATCACTAATGCAATTAGAGAATGTCTCATTTACAGTTTTATAGCATTTTCACAGAACATTCTCTTATAAACATTTCCTGTCTTTAAAAATTACTAAAAATGGCCTGGCTGGCGTGGTTGAGCATCGACGGATGAACCAGGAAGTCAAGGTTTGATTCCCGGTCAGGGCACATGCCCAGGTTGTGGGCTTGACCCCTTTAGGGGGCGTGCAGGAGGCAGCCGGTCCGTGATTCTCTCTCATCAGCATGTTTCTATCTCTCTCTCCTGATCCCTTCCTCTCTGAAATCAATACAGAATATTTTTAAAAAATTATTAAAAATGTGATTTTTTTTTATGGCTGCCAAGAAAAACATAGTAAGGATATACCATATTTTAATTATTCTTATATGGTTGGATATTTAGATTTCTAATTACTGTCTACTATAAATAATCTTCATATATCTTTCTTTCACTACACATTTTATTATTCTACTAGGAGTCATTGTTAAAAGAGGAATCAATGAGTCCAAGTTTATGAATCATGTTAAGGATTTAGGAATATTGCCAAATTACTTTCTAGAAAGATTAGGCCATTTAACATGCCTCCAAGTATTTTACTTGCCAAGTATTTCACTGAATAGTTAAAAAAGTTTTAGCCAACTTGAGAAATAGTATCTCTTTGTTATTTAAATATTTTTAATTTTAATTTTTATGTCTCATTATATCTTTACATGACTACTAGTTGGTTAAAGCTTACTGAACATTTAAATAAAAATAATTAGCCAAGTATATAGCTTAAACTACTAGATCTACAGGTAAATATATAAATGTATGTTTTTAAGTCAATATTTATCAACTGCTCCATGCATGCTTTACAAATACTAACTTATTTTTCAAATATATATTTTTATTGATTTCAGAGAAGAAGGGAAAGAGAGATAGAAACATCAATGATGAGAGAGAATCATAGATCAGCCGCCTCCTACACGCCCCACACTGGGGATCAAGCTCACAACCAGGGCATGTCACCCGATGGGGAATCAAACTGTGACCTCCTGGTTCATAGGTCAATGCTCAACCACTGAGCCACACCGGCCGGGTGATATCAACATTTTTGATCCTCATAATAACACCAAGACAGCTGCCACTGTAATCCCCATTTTACTAAAAATAGGCTAAGACTCACTTGCGGAGGGCAGCACAGATAGAGAAAGCATGTTTTAACCTACGTCTAGCAATAGAGGTGCCTTCGCTTGCGTTGTTACAGCAAAATACCATAGACTGGGTGTCTTGCAGATGCTGCTTTCTTGCTATGTCTTCACATGGCAGAGCACTCTGGCGTCCCCCCCCCCCCCCCCCGCCCCTGCTCCTGACTTCATCGAATCCTCATTACTTCCCGAAGGCTCCACCTCCAAATACCATCACACTGGTGTCCGGTCTTCAAACTTCCTGCTGAATTTTAATGTACCACATAGAAGTAGAAATTAGATCTAAAATTTTCACACTGTGATCATTTAGGTAGGATCTGTGGGAGTTAGATTTAGGTCAATTAAAAATGCACTTTTCTGCCCTAACCGGTTTGGCTCAGTGGATAGAGCGTCAGCCTGCGGACTCAAGGGTCCCAGGTTCGAATTCCGGTCAAGGGCACGTACCTTGGTTGCAGGCACATCCCCAGTAGGGAGTGTGCAGGAGGCAGCTGATCGATGTTTCTCTCTCATCAATGTTTCTAACTCTCTATCCCTCTCCCTTCCTCTCTGTAAAAAATCAATAAAATATATAGTTTTTTAAAAATGCACTTTTCTGAAGGAAAATAAAGAAGACAAATAATTCCAAGTGCCGAATTTAGAAAGTTAATGTTCAAATCAAATTGGAGCTTTGCCAGTTGTAAGTTAAGCTATGGTTGGGGCATTTCAATTCTCTGCCTCCAAGAACAGGTTTTTTAAAAAAAAAATTAATTGAATTTATTGGGGTGACATCTGTTAATAAAATTATGTAGGTTTTAAGTGTATAATTCTATGATCCATCATCTGTATATTGTGTTGTGTGTTCACCACCCAAAGTCAAGTCTCCGTCCATCACCATTTATCTCCCCTTTCCCCTCTTCTACCTCCCCACCCCCTCTCCCTCTGGTCACCACCATGCTGTTGTCTGTGCCTATGAGGTTTTCTTTTCAATTAAAAATATTTAGTGTTGACATTATTGCAGGTGTCTCCCTTTGCCCCCTCCCCCTCCCTTGGCCTTTACCCAACTATTGTCTGTGCCCATGGGGTCCGCATATACGTTCTTTATCCCTTCACTGTCTTTACCCAGCACTTCCACTCCCCTCACCGCGGGCACTGGCGGGTCTGGTGCATGTATCCATGCTTCTGGTTCCATTTTGTTTGTCAGTTTATTTTGTTCATTAGAGTCCACATAATAGTGAGATCATGTGGTATATATGTGTTTTGCCCAATCCCTTCACCCTTTTCACCTGCCCCCCCCCCAAACTCCCTCCCCTCTGATAGCTGTCAGTCTGTTTTCTGTATCTATGAGTCTGTTTCTGTCTTGTTAGTTTATTTTGTTCATTAGATCCCACATATAAGTGACATTTGATGGCAGTTGTCTTTCCCTGATTGGCTTATTTCAAGTACCATAATAATGTCCAGGTCCATCAAGCAGAGGCAAGTTTTAATAAGTCATAAGTCACGGAAATAGTAATACTGAAGGCTTTCCTTATGTATTATTTATTATACTGGGAAATGAAATACACCTTTCCAATAGTCATCACTCTAAATCACACTTCAACAATTAAGCAGAAAGCAGAAGAGAATTTTTTTTAAACTCATTTTTATTTCTTAACCTGATGTTTGCAAATCTGTGTCCAGCAGCAAACATCTACATGTCATAAGTATCCCCAAACTTCACTAATACATAAGAATAGTGCTTCACTTCCAGGTAAAATATTAAATATGAAACATTTTTCACTATTGAAGGAATTTTTACTAAAACAAGAATTTCAAAATGGAACCACAGTAAAGAATGAACAAACCTAAAGAAATACTTTAACTTTTTGGATGTTGCTGAACATTCTCTTAGAGTCCATAACACATCAACTCGTTTTGATATTTTACTATTTTTGTGTGTGTCTTTTGTTGTTTTTAAGTCAATAAGTCATCTAGGTCTAGCATTGCTTGCTAGACCTGGCCTTGGCTCAGTACAGAATGTTCAAAATAATGTTGAAAATTTTCCATTTTGCAAGTTTTCTATAACATTGATGTTTTTTTGAGGTTCAGATGTTCTTGTTTAGTGAAGCAGGAGTTTCTTGGGGGGGGGGTGGGTTCCTGATCGGTTTTACAGTTGGAACCCCGGGGGCACCGACAGTGGCTTCCTCTCGCCTTGTTGGGCCTGGCAGACTTCCAGGACAGCGACAGCTTCGTCCACTTTAGAACAGAGCGACTCCGGCGACTCCAGCAGAAGCAGAAGTTCCGAGTTATCCATCTCTAACAGCATGCCCGTGATCTTACTGGCAAGAGTAGGCTGTAAGGCTTGAATCAGAGGGAACAGCCACTCGCCCAGCATCTTCTTTTGGTCTTCGGGAGAGGCCGACGCCAGCGTGGAAGTAATCAGGCACTTCCCACTTTGCTCACGGGCCACGGGCGGCTTCACGGCGGCGTGTGGCTGGGCGCCCAGCAGTTGAGGATTGCAGACGCCTGGGTTGTATTTATACCGCAGAGCAGAGCGGGCAGTGGGGCGGGGACTCGCTGTGGGTGTTGATGTGCTAGCCACACACTCTGGCTGTGCCCAGGTGGCTTGTGGAAGAGGCGAAGAAGCTGGTGCCCTGGGACCCCAAGTGGCCAGGCCAATATCATCGGGTAGATTGTAGGATAGAGGAGGTTGGGCAGCCTCATCAGCATCGCAAGGACTCGGTGTTGGTTGAGCAGCTTGGCTAGGATAATCCGCAGCCTGTAGGGCAGCTGAATCCTCAGCCTGTGGGGCAGCTGAATCCGCAGCCTGGGGGGCAGCTGCCATCAAGCCATCTGGAGATGCTGGCTGGGAGGGGCTGGTGCCCGGTGTGGATGGAGATTTGGCCGGGGTAGCTTTCTTCTTCCCGAGGTGGCTGGAGAAGTAAGCTCGCTGCTCTTGTTTGTACCGAGCGAAAGACACATACAATGGCCTGGCGGACAACACTTTCCCATGCATCTCGGCCACTGCTTTTTCGGCTTCCTCCGGGGAGGAGAAGCACACGAAACCAATCCCCTTCCTGCGGCCACCTTTCACCATAACCTTTGCGCTGGTGATGGTGCCAAACGGGGCAAACATTTTACGTAGGCGCTCATCATCGACACTCTCGGCCAGGTTTTTCACAAAGAGGTTAATGCCGTGGTATTTGGTGTTGCGATTTCGCTTCATCTCTTCCAATTTCTGCTGCAGTTCTGCCTCCCTCTCCTTCTTTTTCTGAGCTCGAGAAACGTAAATCTTTCTCCCCCCGAACTCCTTCCCATTCAGCTCCTCGATAGCTTTCTTGGCGTCCGCATGGCGCTCAAAGCGGATGAATCCGAAACCTTTGGATTTGCCACTGTCATCGGTCATGATTTTCACACTCGAGAGGGGCCCAAACTGGCTAAAGATCTCTAAAAGGCACTCGTCGTTCATGGCGTCCCCGAAATTCTTGACGTACACGTTGGTGAACTGCTCCACCTTAGCTCTGCGCTCCGCCTCGCGTTGGTTCGGACGCTTGAACGGGCCCACGAACACCTTGCGCTCCTTGATCAGCGCGCCGTTCATCTCTTGGATCGCCTTGTCGGCCGCTTCCCGGGTCTCGAAATGGACAAATCCATGACCCTTGGGCCCGTTCTCATCCGAAGCCACCTTGCAGGACAGGATGGTCCCGAAAGCAGCAAACAGATCGTACAGCTCTTTATTGTCAATGGACGTGTCCAGGTGATTGATGAAGACGTTGCCCACGCCGCTTCTGCGCAGCGAGGGGTCCCGCTGGCACCACATGATGCGCACGGGCTTGCCGTGGAGGGTGTCGAAGTTCATGGTGTTCAGGGCGTGGCCCGCATCCTCCGGCCGGTGGAAGTTCACGTACCCGTAGCCCAGCGAGTGGGAGCTGACGGCGTCGCGGCACACGCGGATGGACAGGATGGGCCCAGCCGCGCTGAACTTCTCGTAGAGCATCGCCTCGGTCACCTCGGGGTGCAGGTCCCCCACGTACAGCGAGGCCGAGGGGAAGCCCGGCATGCCGGGGTTCTCCTCGTCTGCCTGCCAGGTCGCCATGGGCCTTGACCTTGTTGCTAGGGACGGCGAGCAAGGCCAGCGATGACGGAAAGGGCAGCGATGGCGACCGCGGAGGGACAAAAATGTTCCAGACTCTCAACCGACTCAACGGTCAAGGCCATAGAACGTCGGGCCTGACTGACTTCCGGTCCGGGGGGGCCAGTGGCCGCCAAGCGGCTGTGGTTCCTTCTTACAGCTACTGCGGGGTCAAGATCTGTCTCGGCCCTGGCTGCTTCACTGGGTTATTATTTTATAATATTATTTTATAAAATAACCACTGGGTTATTTTATAAAATAACCACTGGGTGGTTATTTTATAAAAAGGAAGAAAAAAGAAGTCTCTGATGGATGAGAGGCAATTTGTTTTGGTAAAACATTTTTTTAAAAATGTATTTTATTGATTTTTTACAGAGAGGAAGGGAGAGGGATAGAGACTTAGAAACATCGATGAGAGAGAAACATCTATCAGCTGCCTCCTGCACGCCCCCTACTGGGGATGTGCCCGCAACCAGGGTACATGCCCTTGACCGGAACGGAACCTGAGACACTTCCAGTCCGCAGGCCGACGCTCTATCCACTGAGCCAAACCGGTTAGGGAGATTTTGTGTTTTTAAAAAAAGATTTAAAAACATAAATGTGCCAAGTTACTTCTCTCAGGACACACTCCCAACACCAGAAGAATCCCTCCTTGGCCCTTACAGAATCCTACCCACTTCCTTCTGTACTTCTCACATCCTCCCTCCAAACTGGAACTAGTAATCTATTGAAATGTTGCCATTTCTAATATATTTTTAACATATTTTATTAATTTTACAGAGAGGAAGGGAAAGGGATAGAGAGTTAGAAACATCCATGAGAGGGACAGAGTTAGAAACATCAATGGGCTGCCTCCTGCACGCCCCCTACTGGGAATGGAGCCTGCAACTCTAGGTATATGCCCTTGACCACAGTCCAACCCGGGACCCTTCAGTCCGCGGGCTGAGGCTGTATCCACTGAATTAAACCAGGTAGGACAAAATGTTGTCATTTCAAAAATGTTATATAAATGGAATTAGACACTATGTAACCTTCTGGGATTGCTTTTTTGAAACTCAGTATAATTCTCTGGAGAGTCATACAAATTAATGCATGTATCAATAATGTGTTTCTTTTCTTTTCTTTTTTTTTTAATGTGTTTCTTTTGATTGCTGAGTATTACTCCATGGTATGTGTGTGCCACAGTTTCTTTAACCATGCATCTTGACTATAGTGGTGAATGCATGAACCTACACATATAATTTAATTGCATAAAACGAAATACACATACAGTGAAATGAGTGTACGTAAAACCAGGGATATCTGGGTAAGATCAGTGAATTGCATCAATGTCAGTATCTGGGTTGTGATATTATTCTATAGTTTTGCAAGTTGTTGGGGAAAACTGGGTAAACGGGTAGACTCATCTCTATTATTTCTTACAATTACATGTGAATCTATAACTGCCTCAATAAAAATTTCAAGAAAAAAGAATACATGTGTGTTCCAAGCCTGGAACCCACACTCTATACGCTCAGCACTAATCACCCACACGAAGGGGCTAAGTATTAACCTTTTAGACCTTTACCATTGGATCATCAGAAGAACATCAAGTACTCCCCACTCATTAAAGGACTGCAGTGAATATTCAAACAACAGCTTGCTTTACACCATGAGCCACTGAACTATGGCCCGTGGGGCAACTTTAGCCTTTCGTGCCTTTTTTACAGCCTGCTAACTCAGAACTGTCTTATATTTTTAATATATTTTATTGATTTTTTACAGAGAGGAAGGGAGAGAGATAGAGAGTTAGAAACATCGATGAGAGAGAAACATCGATCAGCTGCCTCCTGCACATCTCCCACTGGGGATGTGCCCGCAACCCAGGTACATGCCCTTGACCGGAATCGAACCTGGGACCTTTCAGTCCACAGGCCGATGCTCTATCCACTGAGCCAAACCGGTTTCGGCAGAACTGTCTTATATTTTTAAACGGTTGTTAAAAATCAAAAGAAGAATATTTTTTTCCTTTTTAAAATCGAATTTATTGGGGAGACATTAGTTCACGAGCCCATACAGGTTTCAAGTGTACAATTCCACGAAACATCGTCTGCACACTGCGTCGCGTGCCAAAAATTGGAAAATGTCTCGGGGGGAAGAAAAGACTATCTGATGGCATGTGAAAATTACATGAAATTGACATCTTAGTGTCCATAAATGAGTTTTATTGGCGCACACGCACACCCATTTCTCTATCTATTGTCTCTGGCTGCTCCCATGCTCCAACAAAAGGGTTGAATAGTTTGTAACAGACCGTATGGCCCTCAAAGCCTAAAAGAGCTACGACTCCATCCTTTACAGGAAATGTTTGCTGACCCCTGCTCTAGACTTCTGTGCCTCTCTCTGCCCACATTTTGCGATGTTTTAAAATAATGCTAGAACACACGCAACATGGAGAACCGTGGGATGGTAAAAAGAAACTTCATTTTATCTGTTTAGGGGAGAGATGATCACAGTTCATCTTGAGAAGCAGTTTGCTTCAAGACATAATGCTGCGACACAGACATAGAGCAAGGTCTTTTATCTGTGCACATTGGAAGCGGTCACAGATTTCCAAGAGCCCACAGTTTCTGAAGCTCTCTCTATGCCCTCTTTATTTTATCTCTTTCCAGCATTTTAACACCACTGCCTGGCGGTCCAGTGAGTTCTTTCATCGTTATTTCATTTCATCCTCTCAGTAACCCTCCAAATGAAGTTTTAGTGATGAGGAATGGGCCCCGAAAGATGATATTATTGGCCTAACATTGCACTCCAGGATCTACACCGTCATTCACCCAACTTCTAAGCCTTCCTCAGGGTATTTTGTCTTACTGCCAACCATAGGAATAGCATCATTAATGTGGGACAGGAATCTTTCCCTAGCTCATTGATTCGTTTCTACTAACTTTTCCTCTACCAATCCAAATAAATACAGAGCCATATCTATGCATTCATCACCTTTCCATCCATCCATCCATCCATCCATCCATCCATTAAACATCACATGTTTAGTGAGCACCTAGTTCATGCCAGCTAACTACACTAGGCTTAGGCATACAATTGTGAACAGAATTGACATGATCCTTGCCTTCATAAAGGCTACAGTCCTTTTCTACCTGGAATTTGATGTCTTTACAATTCACTATCAGCCCTTTTGGAAGTCACTTAAATCGAACTTCTTGGATGAATGTTCTGCTTTTACTAATAGTCTGAATAGTGGAATGAAGATGTTATAATTTGATTGTTGAATTGAAGGATGAAAAACACAAAAGATGTGCCCTAGCCGGTTTGGCTCAATGGATTGAGCGTCAGCCTGCGGACTGAAGGGTCCTGGGTTCCATTCCCATCAAGGGCACATGCCCAGGTTGTGGGCTTGATCCCCAGTGGGGGGGGGGGGCGCGCAGGAGGCAGCTGATCAATGATTCTCTCTCATAATTGATGCTTTTTATCTCTCTCTCTCTCCCTCCCTCTCTGAAATCAATAAAAATATTTAAAAAATACAAGAGACGTTAGCTTATTAATGACTAAATGTAACACTTTACATAAATATTTCCCTCAGAGCTACTAAACACATGCCAAATTCTACTAACAGTAATGTATAAATCAGTGGTTCTCAACCTTCCTCATGCCACGACCCTTTCATACAGTTCCTCATGTTGTGGTGACCCCCAATTTCATTGTTACAAATTGGACATAATTAAAGCATAGTGATTCATCACAAAAACAATATGTAATTACATATGTGTTTTCCGATGGTCTTAGGCGACCCCTGTGAAAGGGGTTGCGACCCACAGGTTGAGAACCGCTGGTATAAATATACATAACGATATGAAATATTTGGTTACACATTTTTCTCCATCCGATCCGGAAAGATGTTCATCTCTTGCTGATGCTGGGAGAACAGAAGCTGGCGGGGGTAATTAACAGCGTTGACCTCCAGGCTGAACACACACCCACACTGGTTGGGGAGCTTTGGCTTCTTTCCAAGGACGTTGCTGGTGGAACTTGGAAGTGCCATGCGGCTGCGGGGAGTTGGACTCTGGTAGTAGTTACTGGGGCGGTTCTGGAACTTTTCCTTCCAGACGGCTGGCTGGTTCTCAAAGATCGCCTTTAAGAATTGTGTTGTGTAAGTTAAGAGCAGAAGCTATTATTAGCTGTGTGTTGGTGGTGAAGACATGAGGTCAGATTTGGCAGGGGCTCTTCAGGGTGTGTGAAGGGGAACCTCAGCCCAGCCCCCCCCCCCCCCAGGCCACCGGGTGCCTCGGGGAGCAGCTTCCTGGGCACGGGAGTGGCTCTGCCCTCCAGGTTGTGGGAGGATGTGCTTTCATAATGGCATCTGCCTCGGGGAGCTAGGAGTGATATGTAGCAAAGTTCTTTTTCAGAATTCAGTGTCCTACTGAGGACATATAGGGTGTCCCAAAATTCACGCAAGAGTTGAATTTTGCGTGAGCATTAACAACAACAAATAAAAGCCTAATTTTACTTGGTTTATTGAATCAGATTCCAATATCTGTTGCCCTTTGATGTCAATCCCTTCAATTGGATAAGCATCACCAAGTACCAGTGATGGCCCAGGAGCAGGGACAAGGAAGACCAATGAGGACCATGGCTTCGCCTATGTGCCAGCAAAGCCGTGGAGGCCATTTACCCGATGTGCTATTCCATACATAACCCTAGACTATATACTTTATGACTCAATGAAAAATTTACAATTTTTAATTATAAACCTGTGTTTTCTATCAAAATTACTTCTTGCGTGAATTTTGGGACTATATATATATATATATATATATACACACACACATACATACATGCACACATATATATGTATATATAGTATATATGGAAAATATATGTATATTCCATATTCATAATTGCTCAATTAGGCCAGGGGCCATATTGATCTTATTATTGTACCCCACCTCCAAGTGCAATTCTTGGCATAA